TTTAATTGATCTATAATGTAGCCTAGGCATCAGAATTTTTTAATCTCCCCAGATGATCCTGAGGTGCGGCCAAGTTTGAGAACCCCTGTGCTAAAGGAACTTTCTCGGATCCCTTTCGCTTACCTACCTTTTCCCACCGTAACTTGTAATTCAGGTCCTTGCTCTCCTCTCAGCTTTATGACCCTTCCACCTACATACAATTGCTACATTCCTTAATAATGAATTTTTATGAAGTTTAGTTTCCAACTTCACGCATCATTAACAGGGTAGGTGTATAAGAGTATTAATGGAAAAATGAACTTTTAGTAAAGGCATGCATTTGACTGGATTGAAAAATATTAAATGGATCTATCCATTCAACCATGTTATTATGGTACTATTGGAAAATATGTTGACATAAATATTCCAAAATAATACTTGATACCTCTCTGCATTAGCGAAGTATTTCTTTAATTGGATTTGGGGTAATGGAATAGCTATTATTTACTTAAAGTGTTTCTGTAATGGAAACAATAGAATTTGTTACCAACTCCTTTATGTGGGTCGGGTGTGTGGGGGTCAAAACCAAATACAAATGAAAACTTCTTTAGTTGGCAACTCGCCTGAACCTACAGGCACTCATCAGGTCGTAATGGGTATTTTGAAATATTTTTGGACTTATTTAGATGTGGGAGAGAGGTTATTCTATATAGCCTAGAGCCTAAACTCATGCAGTTGTCTCTTTATTCAGGAAAATGGTTTAATTTCTCTCTACTTGTCTGAAAAATGTATATGTTGAAATCTTAACCCCTAAAGGTGATGGTTGTAGGAGGTGAGGTCTTTGGGAGGGGCTTAGGTCACGGGGGTGGAGCCTTTATGAATGGGATTAATGCTCTTACAAAAGAGACCCCACAGAGTTCCCAAGCCCCTTCCATCATGCAAAGATACAGGCTATGTACCAGGAAGCAGGTCTTCACCAGAATGCAACTGTACTGGTGCCTTGGTCTTGGACATCCCAGCCTTCAGAACTGTGAGGAATAAATTTCTGTTGTTTTTATAAACCACTCAGTCTGTGGTATTCTATTGTAGCAGCCTGAACGGACTAAGACAAGAGCAATTCTTTATCAATAGGGTGACCAACCACTCCAGTTTGCCTGGGACTGAGGGGTTTCCTGTGCAAGCTGTGATGAGTTGATCACCTTAATTGGTACAGAGAAAATTAATACTTTAAGAATATTTTATTATAATTTTTTAACATCTTTATTGGTGTATAATTGCTTTACAATGGTGTGTTAGATTCCGCTTAGCTCCTTGAATGAAAAATTATTATGTTTTGATTTATGATTACCAATCCTATATAAATTATGATAGTAAATGGAAGGTTAGTGATTATTTTCTGGGTCTAGTATTATAACTTTCCCTTCAACTTGTTGTTTTTTGAATATTCTTCAAAAGATTTTGCTAGTAGTGCTCAAATTTCACCTTGAGAAAACATGTATATTTTATGTCTAATTTCTAGATTTTAAGAAAGAGATAATAATGTCTAAAATAGCAGAATGAATTGATGCTAAAGTAGAGAAAAATATTAATTTTAAGATCTGCTTTGAGACTGAAGTACCCTGTTAACATAAAGATGTTCTCCTAGTAGAATGAAATAGAAAAAGAGAACTAATAACGTTCTAATATGTATCTCTTCTTGCCCCTCAAATCATCAAAAGTTTGCACAGAGAAGTACTGCACAAAGAAAACTCATTGAAGATGTTATAAATTGGTTATTTTTGAAATTCTTGGAAGTGATCACACAGTAAAGATAAATATATAATTTTACCCCAGAGAATTAATGTATTTCACTTAAACCAGTAATACATTTTTGCAATGATGTGATTAACATGGGTTCCTTTTGCCTAATTTCAGATTGTTAGGGGTTGGTTTTCTATTCTTTATGCACTGAGAATCAGAAACACTAATTATTCCCTTAAAGGGAAGGCTGATCCAGTTTTAACACATGGCCAGTTCAGAAAATATCAAAAGCAATCCTTTCCAAGAGAGTATTCAAACATAGAGGGAAAAAATATCTGAGGCATTGCCAATGTGTTAGATGACCACGGAACTAAATGACACCACTTTTAGGTTAACAACTGGAAATAGAGTCAAGAGTCCCATATCTAGACCCAGATGTGATAATCCAGTGACTGTTTGGGTCAATGCCTTTATTGTTCTGGGCCTCAGTTTATTAGTAAAGTGGGAGAGTTTGACTAGCCTGTGCCTATGGGCCATTAACTTGTTAATATCCTGTCATTCCATGTACAACATTCTGATGATGTCTTAGTGAATATGTGGATTTCTGTCTTCCTTTCCTCCAGCATTACTTCTCTGTACCAGCCTTGGAACAACGGCTTGCATGGCTACAATCTGAGAAAAAGACATGTTCTTCAGAGGACAGAGGCGCATAGTCTCTGTGTTTTAGTCCCTACTATACCTCAACATAATACGATGGATCCTAACGTTTGCAGTTCAGATCTTAGATGAGTTGCTCCCCCTCTTAGGGTCTTAGTATCTATCTGTAAGGAGGATCTTTCTTTTCCTGAATTTCGTTTTCTAGCTTTAACTTTCTTTTAGGCCCTGAAGGTTATTTATTTATTTATTTATCTATCTATCTGTGAGATAGAATAGCTTTTGGTCATCTCGCATTCTCAGTGAGGCCTTTCTGGGTGTCCCCTTCTCTATCTCCACCCCACTTTTCCTGCAGGCAGAAGTCTGGAGATCTGGAGAACTTTACGAACCACATCTTGTCCCTAGGTTGCATGGCTGCAGGTGACAATTCCGCCCAGTGTTTGGTTGCTGCAAACACATTCAAAGCATTAGCTTCCCTCTGGCTCTTTTGTGGACCGTGAATGCTCTGAGAATCCGTCAAGATGAGACCTTGAGGTCTTGTCTTGCCTTACGATATAAAATAAAAGACATGATTCAGCTCATGTGGCGTTTTACTGGCTACAAAACAGATGCAAAATAATGGGAATCTGACGATTGTATTCAGAAGGTAGAGCTTTAAGCTCATGAACTCATGCTCTGATTGAAAAAGTGCAGCCGTATATTAAGATCATTTTGGAACATCTGGTGAGATTGTTACAGAGAAAAAAAAAAGATTCTAAGTTTGATAACTCCAAGGGTACCTCTTAGAATTCACCCATTTGTGTCTGGGCAAGGACTTTCCATTGGGGGAGAATAGTTTTTACAATAGGCAGGAACTTTTATTGGCCTCACGCGTACTTTTAGATCTCATTCACTTGAGAAAGAATTATTCTTCCATTGATGCTCTCCTGTATGATGACCTTGATCTTTGGAGCTGTAGATGAAAAAAAAAAAGAGGAACAAACAGGTCACTGCCACGCTCTCCCCACCATCTGAACTGTACTCCTTTTCAGTTCCTTGTTCTCAGTACCCAGAGGCTCTCTGTGCCTTCCAAAATGATCACTAAGCCATATGGTGGGCTCTGCTGGAATGAAAAGGGATCTTACCAGGAAGATTTTTCCTCCTACCCTCCAGGAAATGACGGTGTCTGAACAGTGTCACCTTCTAGCAGTCAAGGCCTTCATCCTAGGTGTTCCTGATACAGAATCTAGTCTCTGATCACAAGTGCTGGAGGGGGCCTTTCTGCTTATATGGGCTTTGAACACTTGCACCACAGATCCTATGAGCTTATAGAGCACTAAATGCCGTTCTGGGGACCTCACTTTAAGATCTAGAAAGCATGCCTCATGAAGGATGGGTGAGAAGCCAGGAATGTTTATCATGGTCTCAGTTTTCAAAGATATGATTTATTTGAATAAGTGCTTTGTTGATACATCAATAAACCGATTCTAGACCAAAGGGAAGACTTGAAACCATTAATAGAGATCCAGGGAGAACTTTGTTAAAGTCAAACCTCTCCAATAGTAGATTGGACCACCCCCTCCAGTAATGGGTTCCCCATCCCTGGACATGGCCAGAGAGAGGCTGAAGGACCATCTGTTGGGATCTTGCAGAGGGATGGCAATGAGACCAGCTGTTCTGTGATGGTTGCTTGGACGCCGAGTCCCTGAACCTCTAATGCCTTAGAACATTTTTATCATAAACAAATCAGAAAGTACCACCTGTCCCAAAATGTGGTTTCTTAGAACTTTTCTGTGAGATGTTCAAGGTAATCTGAGAAAATAGGATTCCCAGGTCAAAGGTATTTGGGAACACTGGGTTAAACAAAGTAGAATTTTTGCTGTGGTTTCTCTCTCGTTCTTTTTCCTTTTCTTCCCTGCAGCAGTATTTGTTCCATCTTTAATACTGAAATACAGCCTGATTTTTCACAAAGAGGATAATAGTACACAGTATTCCCAGCCGTATCGGGCCGTAGAACATATCTTCTATAATACACAATTAAAATCTCATGGGACACTAGTGTTCAACATAATATAGTTTGGGGAATTACGTGAAATCATTTCCTCTTAATTTTCTAGGGGTTTGGTCAACAGATCCCATAACTTGATAGAGATATAATAATATTAATGATCATTTTTATCTACTTTACTGCTTGCAAAGAGCTTTTATATATATCCTTTAGGACAATGTTGAGAGCTCACTTTGTTCTGTCTTATGTAATTTGTTAATTCAATATTCCTGGCAATTTGGGAAGAAAATGAAAATTGAACACAGAACATTCAGGAGTACACGAGGGGTTATGAGTACTGCAGAATGGATAAATGTGCTGATTTCTTTTAAAAAAGTAGATTCAAACAATGCAAGAATTTTTTTTACCTTTCACACTCGACTTAGATTCTTCCATTGTCCTATAAAAGTGATAAAGGCTCGTTTTAGTATTAGCAACAATCATAAAAACTTTTCGGGCTTCCCTGGTGGCGCAGTGGTTGAGAGTCTGCCTGCCGACACGGGGGACACGGGTTCGTGCCCCGGTCCGGGAGGATCCCACGTGCCGCGGAGCGGCTGGGCCCGTGAGCCATGGCCACTGAGCCTGCGCGTCCGGAGCCTGTGCTCCGCAACGGGAGAGGCCACAGCAGTGAGAGGTCCGCGTACCGCCAAAAAAAAAAAAAAAAAATACAATCAGATGCTCCCCAGAGCAGGGAGACCACTGCCAGCCCCGGGTCCTATGACTCCTCCCTGGCTTGTCACTCCATCACTGGCCTTCCTTCCTCCTTCAAAGACACCAAGCTCGTTCCCTCCCTTGATGTGCTGTTCCTCTGTCTGGAATGCTCCTTCCCTCTGGTCTGTTTCTTCTCATTTTCCAGTCTCAGATCAAATGCCACCTCCTGGAAAGACCAGACCTGACCATGGTAAAGACTATTGCCCAGACCCCTATCAACCACCATACTTTCCTTTCTTCTCAGTGCTTACCACTGTTTAAAATCCTCTTCCTGCTGTATTGGTTTACTCAGTCCCTCCTATTTACTGCCTGTCTCTTCCACTGCTCTGTGAGCTCTGGGTGAGCCCGATCTTGCCTGTCTTCTCCATTGAGGCACCCCTGGTGCTGAGAACAAGAACAGGCCCAGAGTAAGTGCTTAATAAAGATTCATTGAGCAAACAAATGAATCCAAACGATCTTATTGGTCTCAATGGTTGAATTTCTAAGTAATGTAAATATGTCTTAAAATTAAAGATATACTAGTAAACCATTGCCCTTTTATATACTCTGTTCCTTTTACGTTTTTATTTGGAAAAGGAATCCTGTTGCTCTTTTAAAAGTTGCCTGTCCCACAGCATCCCCTTTGGTGTGTTTTAAGATAAAGGGAATAGAAGGCAGGACAGGGAGAATAAGCTACCCTGCTGCCTCTCCTCCAGCTACACCAAGGATTCTAGAGGAAAAAGACCTTCTGGGCTGACCACAGGCACATACCTGGCCTGGAAGAAGCTTCTTCCCCACTTTATCCATCTCCAAACTCCAGAATCTCTCCACCATCTCCAAGGTGTTATCTGGCATTCTGTTGCAAGGAAAGGAAGACTCAGGTTCCAGGGGGACTTTCAATGCACATACCTGGGAGGCCTGGTACAGTGGAACAGGTGAGTGTCCGTCTAGGAAAAGCCATGGTATCAGCTCCCGCATGAATGGAGAGAGAATGTCAAAGCGCCGTTGGATGGATGGAGGTGAAGCCATCCACACCGAATCCAAGCTGGGACAGGGGAGAAGAGCTAGATTTGGGGGTGGGGGGTGGGGATGGGGAGAACCTGCTTCCACCACTGACCTGCAGGTTTTGACCAAGTTTCCTTAAAGCATCTGCTCTCGGGTCCCCATCTACGGAATGGCCATAATTTAAACTGCCCTCCTTGGTTTAAAGAACACAGTAAGTAGTTGCCACGGACCAGCCGGAGAAAGAGGATCTCACCGCCCAGGGTCAGAAGTAGCACCGACGAATGGGGTCAGAAGGACCAAGACAGCTGATGGTTGGCAGGGCAAATTTTATTGCGCTACAGTTGCAGATTATATAGACTAGAAAAGGGAAGATTGCCAGACGGTGGTTTACATCATCTAGGGACTGTCTTGGCTTCAAGGTTAACTTCCCTGGGAGGAAACCCATAAGCCCAGAATCATCAAAAATAACCTGCACGTGCAGGGGGGAGACAGCTTCTCGTCTCAGTTCCCATTCTTTCTGATCCCTGGGCCCTGGTGGTTTATCTCCCATGGAACGGAACAAGGAGGGGAACAAGTAGGGACGGTCCCTTCGAGCAGCGGTGGCGGCATGCCTGGCATGTCCACAGCCTGCTCCCAAGGCTGACTGCCTCCCACAAGTAGTAACTAGATGTCGGCTCCTCTCTTATCAAGCATTGGAAGCCCCACACGACTGCCATTGGCCACCTCGCTGGCCTTATGAGCCACAATGTGTAGGAAAAAGGCAAGAGCCAGGCGGTGTGTATTCTTGCTCCAGACGCCCAGAAAACTCAGTTTGCCCTTTTGTAAACTGGAGAAGGGGCCAGTGTGGCAGGCACGAGGAAATCTGGGGGGATGGTGGGTATGTGTGGTTATAACTCTGCAGGGTACACATTTGTCAACACTTACCAAACTGCGTGCTTTAAATATGTGCAGTTTATTGTATGTCGATTATCCATCAATGAAGCTTTATTTTAATGGAAATAGTGATACTTATGTATCCCTGTCTGGCACATAGAACAAGCCCAGATGTGGTCACGGATGAGGACATCTGAGAAGGAAGTACAAATACCCACATCAGCAGCTGGGCCCTCAGAGACACGAGACCCACGGGCTGGAGGTGCAGCTGGCAATGGGCGCTCTGGAGCCAGACCACCCGGTCTGTGGGCAGTCTCCTCTTCCATGAGTTGGGTAATCAAGGCCCTCTCGCCCACCAGGCATGGCCATGGGGTCAGCCCTCGAAATGGACAGACGAGGAATGAATGGTGGCCTGAGGAAGAGGTCGGGGTTGAGTCTCTTTCAACATCAAGAGTGTTTTGCATTCAAGGACCTCAGAGTGGATCCCACCTTGATACACAAAGCCACACAATATGGGCTTCTAGAAATAGTGAAGGAGCTGGATGAAACAAGAAGTCTCCTGAGAGGAATTCTGGTAACACCCCCTCCAGGACAAGGGAGCCAGACTTCTGGGTTTTAGCAGCTATAGGACTTCCCAGAGTGAACAGCACTTCCCACAGGGCGGATGTCCTGCATCTTCTTACCCGAGCGTAGGTCCTGGGTGTTTCCAACTTGCTTCTGCTCAAGGCCCTCCCTTGAGCCTCTTGATAATCCATCCTGTGAGTGACTCCTTCTCAGAGCCACCCACATAAAACTAACCTCAAGAGGGAGCTCATGCAGGTGCCTATAAGAGACAAGAGGTTAAAACGTGCATCCAGGAGGAGAAAGGGGGCAGACCACCTAGGTGGGCCCACATCCCTTCCCCTCACGTCTCCCCACATTTCCCCATAGACAATAATCCTTTCATCACTCACCCCAAGACTCTCCATCACATTCCAGTCCCTATGGTTCCTCCTCTCATGTCAGCCCTCCTTGTTGAGGCGGTCTCCAAGCTGTCTCCGCAGGGAGTTGGCTTCCTGATGGAGGAAGGGGACAATTCAAAGTATCACAAAGGATCCTAATGCTCTCCTCTGAGAGAGTGCAATTCAACTTGTGCTTATTCTTAAGCTTTCGAAAGTTCGATTCTCTCTGATCCTCTCATTAACTGGCTTCTGTATGCAATGACTAACCTGAACATTCCACTTTACATAGTGCTTTCAAGTCCATGACCTCCTTCCGCCTTTGTACTCAGTATACCTCTCCTCACTTAAAGAGGTGCAGGGATTTGGACTCAGAGCCGAGATGCAATAGACCTTGATTTAAACTCTGGAGCCCAAACACCCAATCCAGTGTTCTTGTTAGTATACCATATAGACTATGGTTTGATTCTTAGCCATGCGTAATAAGAAGGATAGAGCGCAGCTAGAGAGGAAACAAAGAATGTTTACTTCAAAATCTGCCATCCTGGGATAGAATAGAGTTAACTGGTGATTTGTTGATTTCACTAGTTTAGCTATTGATAAAGGAGGTAACTATCAGCTAATCTCGTCACACACCCAACATAGCTTAGGTGCTTGGGCTTAGGTGGATGTCAGACAGATTTGAATTGGGTCTCTTGTCTACCACTTACTAGAAAGCTTCTAGAAGCTTCTAGAAGCCTCAAGTGCTTCATCTGTAAGATGAAGTTCTAAAGCACTTAGCACAGCATTTGGCACACAATAAGCACTCAATTAATATTAACTATCACCATTTACATTGTTCTGGAATTAAGGTTCGCACAAAATATCTGTCTTCTTTATCGTGCAACTAATCTAGCAATGATGTGAACACTTTACAGTGTTTCCTCCAGGCAACACTGAACAGCAGAAAGAGCTCCGGACCAGAAAAGGGAGAGTTGGGTTGTGTTTCCAGCTCAGCCCTCTCTGCAGGGTGGTCCTGCTGGCTTCTCCTGTTACTAAACGGAGAATTGGAATAAAAGATCTGTGCAGGCCCGTGTGCTCCAGCCTGGGAGAGGAAGCAGCTGTGGGCACCGCCTGGCTGTTGACCTTTCCTCATTACTGGGCTTGCCAACCTCCTTCACCCTCATTCCTGCCACTGGCAGAAAAATCCTCGTCTCCTATCACAGATTACTCATTCTCTACAAATCCCTTTTTGTTTGGAGAACAGATTCCTCAGCTGGTTGAGCCTCTCCCACACCCCTTGGCACCTGGAAACAGGCTTTGGCGAGTTTGATCCTGTTGGAGAACTTCACCTGCTCATGGTTCTACTTGAGGCAGATCAGCTCCTCCTTCAGGGACTCCACCTGGGCCTCCAGGTCAGACTTGCACAGGGTCAGCTCATCCAGGATCCTGCTCAGACTCTTCAGATCTGCCTCCACCAGCTGCCTCAAGGACACCTCTGTCTCATACCTGTGATACAGGAGCATCAGAGGCAGGCCTGGTTTAGTTTGTCAGACAACTGGGAGTTGGGGCTTGTGGTTTTTACAGCCATCTCGTTCATATAGGTTTTCAACGTGCTACCGAAGCTCCTGGAGGAAAAGGCACTGGTAAATGAAGAGCCAGTGGATTTAATGGGATAAAAGCACATAAACCGTGAGATTTCCAAAATTAAAACACTTCCTCCATTCTCCTGATTGGACTCTGTGCCTAGCGGAGCATCAGGGGAACATGACTTCTACACTGGATGGGATTCGGAGATGTCCTCTGGAAAGGAAAAGCAGGCAGAGTCTGACTCTGGAGAAGGGTTCTCTGAGCTCTGGTTAGCAATGGCTCTGTCGATCTTAGGGAAACCGTCTAGGGAAAACTTTGTCAATGTTTGTTGGTACAGAGGACAGGCTAAGGGGAAGGAGAGGAAAGAGGGAAGACAACAGCCCCCTTACCCATTCACTTGGTCCTAAAGTCATCTGAGGCCAACTTGGCGTTGTCAGTCTGCACCACCAGCCTGGCGTTGTCAGACCGCTGCACAGGATCTAGAAGATCCAAAACATTCTAGAATAAGCTTGGTTATTTTTAGCCAATCCCTACTAATTCACTTACTTGGAAGGAACAGAATGAGAAATCACAGTGGATCTTATATAAGATTATTAAATGCTGTCCATGTGCAATAGTTGCTCAATAAATATTTAAGAAATCAAACTTGGGGGAAAAAAAGAACACTGACATATGCAAGAAAAGTGTCAATAGATACACAATTTTTCCTTTTCTTTCCTAATAAGCAATACTGAGAAGCTGATAATAATAATAACTAACATTTCTCTTTAAAAACCTACTGTATGTCTGGCATGGTAGCAGGAGCTGAAGATACAAAAATGAGTAAGCACTAGATCCTGCCCACAAAAAACTTCCAATTCAGTGGAGAAGATAAATATGTCAACTAGCAATTGGAGGGGGCAGAGTCATGGATGGAGCCACGCCCTCCCATCCATCCTGGATGGGTTGGTCCTATGTTCTTCTAGGTAGCTTCCACTCTTTCTGATTTCAGCCAACTCTTCTATGCCCTCACTGGACACTGTGCACCATGAGAAGCCCAGAAGCCTCTAGGTCAAGACGATGAAAAGATAATTAGGTACCCAGAAGAGGACAGCAACAAGAGGTCAGAGCAGTCAAAAGCCCAGGTAAGAGAGAGAGAAATTGGTCCAATTCTTACAAAAATTTCACTTTCTCAGCTTCCTTCTTGGGCTCAGTCTCTTCTCTCACCTCAGGATAATAGTTCCAGAGTCTTGGCAAATACACGGAAGCATTCGGAGGCAGCTTTTTTTTTTTTTTGCGGTACGCGGGCCTCTCACTGTTGTGTCCTCTCCCGTTGCGGAGCACAGGCTCCGGACGTGCAGACTCGGCAGCCATGGCTCACGGGCCCAGCCGCTCCACGGCATGTGGGATCTTCCCGGACCGGGGCACGAACACGTGTCCCCTGCATCAGCAGGCGGACTCTCAACCACTGCGCCACCAGGGAAGCCCCGGAGGCGGCTTTTAATTACAGTTTATTTATGCAAAGTGCTGCTACCTCCACACAGACTAACACTATGCAAATACTCAGATCTAACAGTCCTGGAACCAGAATAAGACCAGCCCTCAAGAAAACAGAATGGAAAAGCAAGACTTTAACCCATGTGTTTCAATCACACCGAGAGCTTATATTGTTTCTTAATCATATCTCGAATTCCCTCCCTACAACTTCCTGCTGGAGGTAGTGGGGTGCCCATCCCCTCACCTTCTGCTGGAGATCCTCGATGCTCCAGAAGCGGGACTGGTAGTCGGGGCACACAAGGGGATCTTGTTGCTGGCTCCGCTCCCGGATGCGGCTCTCCAGCTCTGCGTTGTCCCGCTCCAGCTGGCGCACCTTCTCCTGGTAGTTGGCCAGCCGGCTGTTCAGGAACTACATGGTCTCCTTCTCGTTGCCATTGAAGGAGCCCTCACAGAAGCAGCCGCTGTTGCCCACGTTGGCGGGGATGTCGCAGGACCCGGGCAGAGTGGAGCCGTGGCAGCTGGGGGGCACACAGGGCCGGGAGAAGCAACTGGAGCTGCAGCTCAGGCTGGGCAGGGAGCAGCTGTAAGGCATGGTGATGGAGGGAGTGAGGTGACCGGCTGAAGACAGAGTCCAAGTTGTCCAAGCCACAGAGCTGTGGGTCTCCTTCCTCTTGGGAGCATTTATAGCCCCTCTGCAGAGGGCGTGGATGTGGAAGACAGCCCTTTTTTCTTACTCATTGGGTTGTCAAAAGCCTTTCTCCTTGGCTTGTTACGTTTCCTCAGAAGAGTCCCTCATCTCATAAAAGACTTTAGTTGGGCTTCTTGCTAAGTCAGAACTCCTCTTCCATGCTGTGCATCAGTGAAGTAAGAGCTTTATGGTGTGGTTTCAAAGGGCTGGACTCGTGAAAGCCCTGGCCTTCATTAGTGGGGTGTGGTAGGTCCAGGAACGCTATGGCTTCTTCGCTTCCTGGCTTGACAGCCCTGATTCTTCTTGCTGAGATGGAAAAGCATAACCCTTGCCCATGTATCACTCCCTTGGTCAAATTCCAAATTCATGGTTCTCAGAAAGAGGAATAGATCCCCTCTAGGATCATTAAAATAGCCTGGTTCCCAGTGGCCCTGATATGACAGGCATCATCCGTATCCATAATAATGTCAATCAACGAAACAGCAGATAGTCACCAGGATCATGGTTTGTACAGGGCACCGTGAGGAATATGGAAGGTAGGATCAGGGCTGTGGTCATAAGGAGCTCACACTTGTTGAGCACCTGTACAAGCCCAAGTTGGTACTAGACACTCTTCACAAACACGATCTTATTCACATCTCACCATGACCTTTCGAGGTACATGATAATATTCCCATTTTACAGACAGGCAAACAGAGGCATAGAGAGTAGGGGTTAATGTGTTGTGAATCCAGGATTTCAGCACAGATCTCTGTTCTTTCCATCATACCATGCTGCTTAAATTAATGAACTAACTCCTTCCCTAGCTTCTTCTGACAAGTCATCTCTCCCTCCTGTCTTAGCTTTCATTTCACTTTGAGCATAACATTGCATGACTTATATGCATATCTCTCTGTGTATTTGAGTTCCCAGAAGCAAAGACATGGTCTAGTTCATCTTTGAATCCTCTGCTCTAGGCACATGGTACACAGTAGAGACCCAGTGGACATTTGTTGGGTGGATGAAGGAATGAGCATTGTATAATAATATGAGGCAAGAGATGATAAGGGAGAAGTTGAAAAAATGGGGAGAGAGAGCACAGCCAGAACTGGAAGTTCACAGGGATAGATTTGTGCCGGGACGGGGAGACTTCTAAGAAGCAGAGAGGAGAAAAGCAGATACTGCAGGTGGAAGAATCATGTGCACACAGAACGGTGCAGGAAAGCCCAAGGCATGGTCGAGTACGACTAGGTAACTGGGAGGGGAGAGAGTGAAGGGAAGTGGTGGAAAATAGAGCTGGATGGGGAGGTTGTGACCATATGGCAGAGGTCTTCAATGACAAAGCTAAGGAGCTTAGACTTCCCTGGAGGGCAACATTTTAGCAAACATTTATCTGTTTTAGCAAAATGAAGATAAGGCTGGAAGCAGAGGAGCGGCAAGGTTATTGTAATAGTCTGGGTCAGCAGTAATAAAGAATTGAGTTTAGGTATCTGGAGGGGAAGTGTAAAAGAAGAAACTGCTGTAAGAACCATTTTCAAAGAAACATTTTTTTAAAATCAGCAATCTGAGAGAGGGTCAAGAATGAAACCAAAATTTGACAAGCATAAGAATTTAGGAGAAAACTTTACCATTCACAGAAACACAGAGAGCAGGAGAAAGCACTGTTTTGCACATCAAGGATGAGTTAGCTCACTTCCTTTAACAAACATTTACTGAGTCCTTCCTATATGCCAGACACAGAGCTAGGCACTGGGGATGCAACAATGAGCAAGAGAGGCAAACCTACAACCTAGTGGAGAATGCACACCAGCCAGGTGGATGATACATCTGTCATGGGGGGAAGCCCCAGCTGCTGTAAGAACGTGCAGCCGGAGATCTAACCAGACTTAGCAGAGGTCAAGGAAGGCTTTCTTGAGGAATTGTTGATGTTGCTGAGAGCTGAAACTAAGTGAAGAGGAAGGAGATTGTTCTGGGTAGAGTTGGGGCAAACATGAGGGCCAGAAGTGAGCGAGCACATTGCATTTGGCCATATTTCCCATTTTTCACAAACAGCTTAAACAGAAAATGATATTTTTGTGGCTCACTGGGGAAAAGTGACTGGGCTGCCTTGGCCAACTATTCTGAGGACTCAGAGCATCAGTACCATGACTCCCTCTAGCCCATTCACCTCAATAAGTTGGGAAGTTCTGCATTAGAGGAATTGGAAAAAGCTTAGTAAGGATGGTATGAGCCAGGGAGTGACAGATTATCATAGAGGAGAAGCAGACAACCTCAGCCAGCACCAGCATCCCTCCAAAGTTGTTCTTGCCCAGGGCCCAGCCCCACACATCAGACTGCCTGCAACTATTGCAGCTGGGTCTTACAGCCAGCTGCGCTGGTGACAAGCCCCCACACTAGTGTGCCTACAGCAATAGTGACCCAGCCACAGACACACACAGATTACACAGCCCTGGAGCACCTGCCTCTGGTAACCAACTGGGACCCCACTGCTGGGCCCCACAAAACACCTTCTACACAAAGCCACTCCTTCAAGACAGGGAGACATAGATGGTCTACCTCATGTGTAGAAACAAACACAGAGAGTTAAGTAAAATGAGGAGATAAAGAGTATGTTCCAAGTGAAAGAAAGGAATATGTCCCTTAGAAAAATAAACAAATGAAATGGCGATAATCAATCTTCCTGATAAGGAGTTCAAAGTAATGGCCATAAAGACATTCAGCAAACTCAGAAGAATGGAGGAACACGGTGATAACATCAACAAAGGGATGAAAAATATGAAAAAGAACCAATCAGAGCTGGAGAATACAATAACAGAAATGAAAAATACACTAGAGGGAACCCTAACCCTGTCAGTCCAGTTGTAAAGACTCCATGCTTCCACTGCAGGGGACAAGGGTTTAATCTCTGGTCAGGGAACTAAGATCCCACATGCCATGCAGTGCAACCAAAAAAAAAAAATAAAAAGAAAGAAAGAAAAGAAAAGAAAAAGAAAAAATCAATAAGGAAATATTGGCATTAAATGATACATAAGATCAGATAGACTTAATAGCTATATACAGGACTTTCCACCCCAAAATAGCAGATTCATATTCTTTTCAAGTGCACATGGAGCATTTTCCAGGATAGATTACATGTTAGGCAACAAAACCAGTCTCAGTAAATTTAAGGAGATTGAAATCATATCCAGCACCTTTTCTGACCATAATGATATGAGACTACAAATCAACTACAAGAGCAACACTGGAAAAAAACACAAATACATGGAGTCTAAACACCATGCTACTAAACAACCAATGTGTTATTGAAGAAATCATAAAGTACCTTGAGAAAAATGAAAATGGAAACACAACAATCCAAACTCTATGGGACACAGCAAATGCAGTTCTAAGAGGGAAGTGTATAGCAATACAGACCTGCCACAGGAAATAGGAAAAATCTCAAATAAACAACCTAACTTTATACCTAAAGGAACTAGAAAAAGAACAAAGTCCAGAGGTAGTAGAAGGAAGAGAATAATAAAGATCAGAGTGAAAATAAGTGAAATAGAGGCTAAAGAAACAATAGAAGATATCAGTGAAACTAAAAGCTGGTTCTTTGAAAAGATAAAGAATTCTATAAACCTTTAACCAAACACATAAAGAAAAAGGAGAGGGCCCAAAAAAATCAGAAATGAAAGAGGAAAAGTTACAACCAACACCAAACACCAAATTATCATAAGAGTTTACAATGAAAAATTATACACCAACAAATTGGACAACCTAGAAGAAATGGATAAATTCCTACAAATGTAAAATCTCCTAAGACTGAATCAGGAAGAAAAAGAAAATCTGAATAGACCAATTACTAGTCATGAAATCGAATCAGAAAAAAAAAAAAACACCCAACAAACAGAAGTCCAAGACCAAATGTCTTCACAGGTCAATTCTACCAAGCATTTAAAGAAACTTAGTACCTGCTTCTGAAACTATTCCAAAATATTGAAGAGGAAGGAATGCTTCTAAACTCATTCTACTAGGCCAGAATTACCCTGATACCAAAACCAGACAAAGGGACTACAAAAAAATTTAATCACAGGCCAATAACCTTGATGATCATAGATGCAAAAATCCTCAACAAAATATTAGC